TTCAGCCTGCACCTTTTCGGTCTGTATATGTTAAATATGACTGTTTATGAATTAATGTCAATATATACCTGTGACCGAAATAAATAAACTGAAATGAAATGAAATGAAAATGAAAATATGGGATTTGGGAAAAGCTTAATAAACCAGTGCATTACATACGTCACCAAATAGCAGCGATTGGTTAAATTAAAAAAGTACCTGCTAGGGGGGGTAACAATATCTCACGATATGATATCGTCACGGTATGAACCTCATGGTACGATATTTATTGCGATATTGTGGGAAAGCTTACGATATGGTGGGGAGGCTCACGATTAGGAATGTAACAATATCCAAATCTTTTGGTACCATATTTTCATGTTATACATCTCACAGTACGATATTTATTGCGATATTTTGAGGAGGCTAACAGAACCGTTAATATGCTACTTTTTCTTCTTAAAATGCCTTGAGAAGACTCAATCTAAAGAACTAAGACTTAAAAGTGCTTAGAACTGTAATTTCTTCATGTAGTTTACACTGAAATGGAGCAAAGGATCATGGTCTATGTAGTTCCTTCTGTCTTTTTTTAGCTATTAATTTAAGCAAAGAGACTTATAATTTGATATATTATGATGTTTCACAATATTTTTGTGAGAACTTTGATGATACAATATCACGATATTTCAATTATTGTTACACGCCTAGTACCCGCCTATTGTTGAGCGAACAAATTCTAATGCTGCGAGGCCAGACGGTTTCCAAAAGTGAAACCGGCTCATGAATCAGGCTACTCAACAGGACTATGAACGCACAAATTGATCACAGGGTTCTGAAAATATGTTGTTTAAATTGATTTTTTTTATTTTTTATTTTTTTAAAGACTAGTCTAGTTTTTAGACTTGAAACATTTTGGACAGGATTTGGTAATGTGTGCATTATGTCTCCATGGTAACTGCTGAATATTCCACCATAAAGCATGAAGAATACCCCATCAATTGATTACTTACTCCCTCATTGTTAACACCAAACTGCTGCTTTAGTTGTAACTCGTGCTACTCATGCTTTTCCTCTGGCCTCTCTTAACACTAAAGGATTCCTGAATGACAATATTACCACGGGCCTTGATGATTTCATTTAAAATATCAGTGCTTGCAATTTGAAAGTTATCTCACAGCTCTGGGATTTGCGTATCTCTTTAGATAATCACTCGCTCTCATAATAATCTTAGTCATTCAATATTTTACACAAAGGAACAAGTGCACAAAGTCACCCTCTTTCATTATCGGCAGCGTTGTGAAAAGATAGAAATGGGATATTAACATCTTGTCCTCAGCTCTTTGACCCAAATGGTTTTCTTTCTTGTGGGAATAATAAGGACACATTCACAAATCAAATCTCCCAAAGCAGCTACGGCGTTGGCGAAATGTCACCAAAAATAAAGAGAGGAAACAAGGGCACATTAAGTGACTGTGCTTTGAATACAACAGCAGTGCTACAGGAGATTAGGGATGGTTGCTACAGTGTTTTGCGCCGAAGAGGTATTTTTACTAGACAGAAATATCTTGTGAAACTATGATAGAGGGAAATGCTAGTGTAGAAGGTGACTGAGTGGCTAACATTAACGCCGCACAACAAGAAGGCCCCAAGTTAATTTATAGGAAAGTCTGGCGCCATTTTGTGTGGAGTTTCTATCAACCCTCCCAAAAAACTAATCAACCTTTTTATCTGGAATTGATACTTGGCAACTGATGTCAGCAACATGCCTTTGACATGTGATTCTACCTGTAAGTACTGCTCTGTCTGAGGCATGTTAGACATTAATATGAGTTTTATTTTAACACAATCGTACTAGAAAAAGCTGGTTTGGTTGGAACTACCATATTTTTCAGACTATAAATCACACTTTTCTTTGATGGTTTGGGTGATTCTGCGTGGGACTTATATATTAACATGTTCACACTGACAGCTTTGGCTTAGGCTCTAGTCTTGTGTGTCAGTCTCTGATGCTCCTATTACTCCTGTACCACTGTCACTTGGCTCTACTGTGCATGTCTCCTGCAGAAAGAGCCTCTGTCCTGTCTGTATCATGTCAGTCAATCGCACCATTACTTCTGTACCACTGAAAATTTTAAATTTAAGTGACTTCAGTGACATTTGAAACCGTCCTGTCAATATTCAGAAAGGCCGGAATAATTGTAACTGGAACTGATGCTGATTTAGATTTAGTGATTTGGAGTGAGATGGAGAGTTTGATAAACTTGTTCTGTTGTTTGTTATATTTATCTGAAGAACTGTTCATATGTGACATTAACAGTCTGTTGTTCTCTGTTCTATTGTTATTACTAGAACTTGTCTTTCAGCATGAAATATCGGTTCCTGGTCTCTGATTTTACTAAATATTTTCCCCCATAAATGCAACTTATAGTCTGGTGCGACCGATGTTTTTTTCCTCATTACACATTTTTTTGGCTGGTGCAACTTATAGCAATTTATAGTCTGAAAAATACATCGCAAGAGGTGAGCTGATTTGTGCTGTTAAATTCAAGCTAGCTAGCATTACCCAACAGTTTTTCCATTAGTCGCTTTCACCTCCTGCTTTCCTGTTTTCAGACAATCTTAAAACACTCTTGTCTGTGTTTGCTAATGTGTACATTTTGCCACCATGGTAAATGCTGAACATTCCACTAATAGAGATACACGTACAACACCCACAGCATGATGTCACTGCAAAGTATCAATTAAAAACTGGACAAAATGTTAATATCAGTACCAGGCTATGTGTGCAGCAATATTTAGCTGGAGTATTTAAGTTGATGTAAAAGCCCCACATAGAATGACCAGAAATTGAACCATGGCATGAACCTTCGCGCTAACCTTTTATGCCACTGTAAAAATTGCATCAAATTTCCCAGTGAAGTTGAGCCTTTTAGTTGAAGTCTGCTTACCCAGAGTGCAGCCTTAAAATAACACAGCCTCTTGGATTCATTTAGCCATCAGTTTAAGACCCGTCTAAATCTGTCGACAAGAATGAGAACGTTAAGTTTGTGAAATGGTCTCGAGGGCAGATGGCTGAGAGCTGCAGTCCAAACCCTGACAGAGGAACATCCTTCATGCAGAGATTAGCTTTTAATTAAGACTATTAATATTTGTGCTGGCGCCGCGGAGCCAGAGCGGTGACTGAGAGACGTGACAGACGAGCAGAGGTTTGAACGAGGAGGACTGTGGTCGCCGCTGACAGTGATTCAAGATTAAAGTGTTTAGACAAAGCCTGATACAGACAGATGTGGTGTAGTCAGATAAGAACAGCAAGCTGGACCACATGCTTTTACTATTCTTTACAAAGATTGATAGTCAAACTCTATTCTATCTGCACAAACCCCTATGGGCGTCATCGGCTGATTAACCAATCAGAGGAACACATGGTCCATTTGTGTCAAAATATAGATGTCGAGGCAAGGCGAAAAGCGAAGAAAAGTGAAGCGAAGCACCCCGAATTCACACCAGGAGCTGCAGCAGTGCTTAACGTAGGCGGAGCTGCGCGTACGCGTAAATTTCAAAGTTTCAATTCACACCAGAGCGTCGGAGATGCTCCTGCTATGCAGCCTGCACATCTTCTCACTGTTTTCAGACATCACATTTGTACTTGCTTTTTATCATTTATTTTATGTTAAAGTGTATTAAGTTAGAATGTGTATTAAGTGTATTATGAATTAAGTGTACAACTGCAACGCATCTGCGTTTAATGAGGTTTAACTCTATTAGCACGCACATTAAACACCTCAGTCTTTTTTCCCTTAATAAGGTAAAATCACGTATAATTAACATACATTATGAGTGTGATTAAAATCATATGTCCGTCCAGGTAATAAGGCCTATACGTTTATATGTTGATACAGAGTCCTGCACCGATGGATAAGGGAAAATAGTCACTGAAACGGGCGAGTTTTAACGTTCTGGAATTGTAAGGGCGGGTCAGGACTAATTCAGGTCTAAACCAGGTCTAAACCATGACTAAACCCGGACTAAATCAGGTCTAAACCAGGTCTAATCTTGGAGAGAGAGAGAGATAGTGAACCCTGAGCCCCGCGGAGCAGGTGTCCGAAAAGCGCGACGGCTGCACGTACCTCTTCTCCAAGCTCTGCACCGGTCCTTTCGCCCGCGGACACTCGGGGCTACACAGAAGGACCCCCGAGCACATTTCGACAGTGAGTCCTGGTTTAGTCCTGCTGTCTGACATCGTAAATCACGTGCGCGTTGTTTACGTCGCTATCTTGACTTTGGTTAAATTATTTTGAAAGGGTATCGGAAGTTTATTTTGACACCGCGTGTTTATTTCCTGTCTTTCCCCTGCTAAAAACCTTGGAGACGCACCGTTGACGCTGCAAAATTAGAACTCCAACGTATCTCGAGCAGCGCGTCAGCGTCAGACGCTCGTTGGACGCGCGTATGACACTGTCGGTGTACACTGTCAGACCGGTTAAAATGGAGTTCTAAAGCAGCGCGTCTGCTGCTCGTGTGCTGTGCTGCGCGCCGTTGCGCTTTGGTGTGAATTGGGGGTCAGAATGGGGGAGCAGGCCCTGAACAGGCACCTTTCCCTACACAGCTTACAAGTGAAGATAAAGAAGCATTACATTGAATGAAGCATTAAATGTTAAATCTGCTGTAAAAAGTTCTGAATGTTTGAGAAGTCATCCTGCATTCAAACAGAATGTAGGGACTGGTTCACCAGGAAAAAGTTCCAATGCAACAAAAAATGATTTTGCCTCTTGATTAAGTGTCTTGTATCTTCCTTGGACTCTTTTTTCCTATGAAAGATGGTCAAGCTGTAGTCCTGGGTCTGAAAGGTTGTTTAAAGCATCATTCATGGCCTTTGTGTCCTTTGGCAAGACACTTTAAATGTGTGATGTTTAAATGTGTGGACAACAAAACAATTCTTGGCATATGTCCCATGTGTCTTTAACATACACTGTATATACTACTTTTGTAGAAAACCTGAGTCTTTTCTGTGTTTGTTTCAGTTGGCGTGAACATGTTCTACATCTGTCTGATCGTGTATCTGTACGGAGACCTGGCCATCTACGCTGCAGCTGTCCCCATCTCACTCATGGAGGTCGCCTGGTGAGTGCATTTACTCTGTATGTCATGTCATGAGTGCATTACAGTATTTAGATTATTAGATTATTTTATGATTTAGGTTGATGCAGAGAGATATAGATACTTTATTGATCCCGGGGGAAATTCACGTTTCTCTGCTGCAACATTTCCACTGCGTTCTTTCAAAGGTCAAAGGTCAGTTTAACAGGACTTGTCAGGTAGAGTCGGCGCATCCTGTGTCAGGGGAGGGAAACTATTGTACAAAGGGCTGTTCCTCACCTCAAACTGCCCTGTGTCCTGCAGCCCAGACAGTGTCCAGGGAGAGCCAGGTGACATTGATACAAGAAAAACAAACAGCTCATTTCACACAATCCAACAGTCTCCTACTTGTGTCCTTTGAACTGCAGATGCTGCACTTCTTAGCTGCTTAAAATCTCATGATATGATAGTAAAAACTGAACTTAAAAAAAAAACTGCTCAGGGTGTGAGCCAGGTAACCCAAGAGGTAATGTGATTTTTTTATTTTTATTTTTTAATCTGCTGTCTCTGTGCAGTCACTCTAAACAGCAAATGAATGAGATTGTTTAGATATGCAAGACAGATATTATGTTTTTGTATTCTCAAGACATTTTAACATTTTTAGCATCTCCCCCAATTAACACATTTCAGATTTTATTGCGCTGCCGGTTAACAAGTGACTTGAGATTTCACACGGCCTCCTTTAGCCCAAAGCTCTCTGATCTTGTCTGTTTGTCTATAAAGTTTTCTTGACCTCTCTCCCTCCCCTCTGCGTCACAGCTGCCCCGAGACTGGATTTTATTACCAAACCGTCGGCGAGAAACTGCGAATAAAGTTTTCATATCAGAACGTATGCTGCCTCGAGACACAGACAGAAATAGGCACTGGACATTTTTTAAATAAGAATTTTGATGGAAATGACACTGAGAGATGCTCCCAGATATGTTTTTCCATTTTTGTTATAATTGTTCTGTTTGGTGGGATTCAGATGTCCTCACATTCTATAGGCCAATATTTTGGTGACAGGTAAAATTCACAGTTTTTAAATGCAGATTTATGTTGCAATGTAGCGATGTAGCAAGTTCTTGGGTCTAGTCAATGACAGAAATGATTAGGTTCAACATTTGAATATTACCATTTAGAGACTTCATGCCAAAGGACAATGTAATCAACAGGAATACAAATCCATACAAACATATGAACAGTATACACAAATATTATAATACATAGGGGTAATTAATAGAACCAGATTCAAGTTCTTTATTATAATCAATGATAAAAAATCTATATTAATACTGTCTGTTGCCACCATCTGAGAGATCACATTCTACAATCTGAAAACCAACAATTTGGATGGGTCAAAGGAGGGCTACTGCAGATGTCCTGATCTTTTACTGGTGAATAGATCTGCAAATAGTTTCCTCTGCATGCAGCTGCCGCCACTAGTGCTACGGCCACTAATGCCCAGAGCAGCTTAAACACAAACTGAGGTTACTCTAAAATTGCAAGAAACATTATTAATCACATAGATAGTGTTTGGTTTACCTATGTGATGTTTTGACGGAGCCTTCCTTAAGAGTGAAAATGAAAATGGACAAATCGGCAGAGCAGAGCGAAATGCGATAATTTGTTTACATATGTTGACTAGCCATGTGCTTCGGGCTTCGACTCTTTACAGGTCTCGAACATAATATGCACTGAAAAAACACACTACCTTTAGAAACAGTCAGATAAAACATCATGTTCCGAAGCTGCTGTACTGTGGAGGAGTTTAAGACATTAATTTATGATATTTAAGTAGAGATAGGCGCCGATAATGAAAAATTTGCTGGATCGGGTATTGGTTCCATGATATCGGTAAAGGTGATTATTTTTATTTTTACTTTTATTGGATGTAATAATAATGTCTACTTACAGGCAGTTTTTGGCCTAGAATATCATTTAATGTTTGAATTATTAGCTGTTTAGTAGTTAGATGAAAGATTAATAACTCATTACACAAGAGATCCAATTGTGTTGCGGAGCTGTTAACTGTTTTAAGGAAATAAGTGTAATTTTCCATCCCCATACTGGTATCGGTAAATATCAGCCATCAGCTAACTCATAGGCCCTGTCCACACTAGTAAATATTCGAGTCATTTTCATTGTGGATGCAGTGTTCGTCCACACTAATCCAATTGAAAACGGCTCCTGAGACGGAACGATCTTTGCGAGCTGTTTTTTGAGCACTTAGTTTATGCAAATTAGCCATGCAGTTTTAAGTTTCTTTTCTGTAAATCGTAAACACATATGCTCAAAGCTGTGTGGATAGGGAAGACTTGCAGACACGGAAACGACGTGTTTGGACGCAGATCGTTTCCGATACGGTGATTCGTTTCAGTGTAAACGTACCTTAAAGTCATAGTATCGACATCAGTATTGGTATTGAAAAAGCTGGACCAGTGCATCCCTAATAACAGCATTATTACATGGTTTAAGCTCACAAAAGTCAGTTTTGCATAATAAAAGACTGTTCAATGTATGATCTAATGAGAAATAAGTAATGGTAAATGTGAACCCTCATAGAAATTCATTTGTACTCTTAATTGGGGAGAAGTAATAAAAGAAAAATGGGTAATCATAATATTAACTGGGCATTTTGTCTATTGGATATTAGATAATGGTACACAAGGGCCCGGGATAATTGTGATCGCTTCATTAAAGTTAATTTTACTAAATGATTATGCGACAGTTTCAAAGTCAAATTTAATAGCTGGTAATTATTGCTTTATTTTGAATTGGAACAGGCCAATTAACTGTGCACTATTCATAACCTTTTAATCTGATATAATGTAGGGGATATCATTAAACATGTAACTTTATTTCTTCATTTGTTATAACCCAATGTCACCTTTTGCTTTAACAATACAGGCTTAAAATGCAACCTATAATTACCGTGTGGATATTAGAGGTTTTGCTAATTGGACCAGCACGAGACAAAGATGAAGGCTGCGTTTTTGCCATCTCAGTGTTATAATGGAACTTGTACACCATATAATGTACTTTCAAAAGGTACACTATGTGACTTTTGGGGTAGAGGGTCTGCTGCTTGCTTGTCTCCATGGTTATGAGTTGCCCTAGAATATCCCACAGAATGGCGTTAAATTTGCTTCTTTCCATGGAGTTCTAGTTATAGTATAGATCTCTGGAGACGGGAACCCGCTCGCAGTAATTAAGTAATAGCAATTTTGACTAAATAAACACCTCTCATTGAATAAGTGCAAATCAGAGAAGTTTAATGCCAGGCAGAAACGTTACATAGTGTACCTTTTTAATACAGAATAGTTCTAATTTCTTAAAGTTTGTGCTTCTCAAAGGCGCTGTACCTGATCTGACCGGTCTTTTAAAAATGTGAAAAACAGAACTACTTCATTTTAAACAGTTTTCAGTGGTTCAGAGTTATTCCTCACTTCACTTCTGTCTTCAGAGCATCTTAATTATTCACCGTGACGAGTTTATAAGAGCTTTTCACAACTTTCAGAAGCCAGAGTGTAGTTTTGCCGTGACGTTAAAATTAACTGGTATGCTTACATGCACTTCCTGATTATCTGCCAGTTAAACACTTTGTAATTATTTGAACCTCAAGACCTGCTTCAGAAGATTCAGCTCAAGACCAAAACCATTCTGTGTCAAATGCATCTTTCATTTCAATACTTGTTGCAGTTTTGATTAGTATTTAAATTCTGCTATCCCAAACAAACTCATATTTCTTTCTTTTGATGAATTGAAAATACATATATTACCTCCCACACATTACATTGTTCACCTTTAGCTCGACCAAAACTTAAATTCACTTCGACCTCAACAGATTGAGTCTGACTTCAAATACCGAGCCCCAGGCCTGTGCCGCATCCAGGCTCCACATAAAAGAATGGCACAAAGTCAATGGAAAAGGTTTAAGCTGCACTTCTAACATGGCTTTATCCTGGATGTATTTACTCTGATTCAAATCTGTGAAATGAAGTGAGAGAAGTCAGATAGTCCTCGAGCATTTTGAGTTCATGTGAAAAATCTCCACTTGCAACCACAATATTAATACTTTTTTCTGTGTTTACTTTCAATATTAAGATGGATCATTGCAAGATCATTTGGTTAAATCGATAATCATAACTAGAAAATTATAATCACAACCATCTTTAGGCAAGGCAAGGTAAGTTTATTTGTATATCACAATTCATACACAAAGTAATTCAAAGTGCTTTACAGAATAAGAAATACATTAAAATCACAATAAAAACAAATCAAAACATAAATAATCATAAAATTAAATCTTAAATTTAAAAGAGAGAGACATTAATCTTTAGTAGCATTAACTTTACTTTAGTAAGTTTTATTTATATAGTGCTTTTCAGAGACATATGTCACAGATCGTTATTCAGTCACTCCATACCTGGTGGTGGTAAACTACTATTGTAGCCACAGCTGCCCTGGGACAGATTGACTGAAGTGTGGCTGCCAATCGCACCATTGGTCCCTCTGACCACCACCAACACTCATGCACACACCACTTTCATACTAGGCAATGTGGGTGAAGTGTCTTGCCTAAGGACACAACACAACGTCTTTGCGACTGGCGCCCCCCCTGTGGCACCTGAATTCCCCAGTGGTCTCCCATCCAAGTAACCAGGCTAACCAGGCCCGGCCCTGCTTAGATTCTGAAATCTGACCGGATCAGGCTTTGACAAGCTAGTATGGCCATATAACTTATAAAATAAGTAGAGATATTTTAAGTTTATTTTTTGTTTACATTCCATACATGTAAATACATAGTTCTGAAGCCTTGAGTGAGAATCTACAATGCAAATAATCATGCAAATAAAAAGGAACATAACTGGAAGTGTGTCCAATATTTTGACTGGTTGGTTGTTTTTCAGAATAAAAAAGAAAATAGTGGACTTGCATCTCCACAAACGTGACTCTTATTTGGTCTGGAAGAGGGCCTCCTCTTGCTTGTTTCCATGGAATGGAGAATGTTCCAAAGTATGGTTTTAACCAACCACAACAACCAACACCAACAACCAAGCAGTCAAAATATTGGACACACTTCCAGTTATGTTCCTTTTTATTTGCATAATTATTTGCATTGTAGATTCTCACTGAAGGCATCAAAACTATGCATGCTAACATGTAGAATGTAAATGAAAAATGAACTCAAAGTAACTGTTTTATTCTAAAGACAGTAGTAGCCTTTGCCTTAATCACCGCTTTGCACTTTTGGCATTCCGGTGAATTGAAAACCATTTTAGGAGACTTTTACATTGAGTGAAGGCAAAGGGGTTACAGCACTGTCAACAAAGCAAAGGTTTTGATACTTTGAGGATTTGAATATAAAGTATTAAACATATTTAGCTGAGTTATTTAACTTTTTTATTTGCTCCATATATCTTGTGTTATATTCTTGATGACTTCCATATATGTCAACAATGTATAAAGTGGTAAAAACAAAACAAACAAAAAAACATTGAATAAGGAGGCATGTCCAGATTTTTGATTGGTGTATTTATTTATTCATTCATGTTTTTGCACTTCTGATAAAGTTGTTTGTCTGTTTTTACAGCGGGAACCATTCGTGTAGCACAGGCAGCGTGAAGTACAATGACACCGACCCGTGTTGGGGCCCAGTCACCAGGAAGGACGCGTACAGGGTCTTTCTGGTGAGTTATGCCCCTTTTTAATACACAAACTGCATCTACACACTCGCTGATCGGATTCATGGGCGGTCAAACTTTGCTCTGAAAAGTTTGTGTTTTAAAATATGTCTGCTTGGTTAAAAAAAGTGTTCGTGTGATGGTTTCAAAGTGGTGCTGAACAAATTTGCTTGTAATATGAATACTAGCAGATTTACACATGGGGTTACATTATTTTTTGGCTCAACATTTCAAACTTTGGAAATGATACTACTGCAATGACATCACGCTTGGGGTGTTTAGCGTGTATGTGCATGATGGAATGTTCAGGACACAATGCACACATTAGCAAAACGTTTTATGATGGTCTGAAAACCACACATATTCAGGAGTTTGATCAATACAAGCATTCATGGTCCTGCTTAGGAGTAGATGGCTTGTGACTGTAATGTTATTTGAGTGGGACTTGTTTAACAGTTGGAACTACAACGGGTGAGTTGATTCTTTTTGGTCAGATTGTGTTGAAATAAAGCTCAGATTAATGTGTAACTTGAGTAGCAAGCCCTCACACAGAGCATGCCTACAGTTAGCATGGTACCCCCAGGGAATGTTGATGCAAAGAATCATTAAGACTTTTCAAAATAACAATCAGAATTTTTGATCAAGTAATCAGTGGAATATAAGTGGGATGTAACTGATCATAAGAGGTCATAAAGGGACAGTAATTAAGTAAATAATACTTTATATAATCTATTGTGGCTGAAAGGACAAAACATTAACCCTTGTACTAGATGTAAGTTGGCTTCGTTGGACACCTTTAGAAGGGGATATATGAGACAAAATCAGCTTTTATTATGTATTATTCCCTAACTTTGACTGAGTTGTATTTAAAGTGATGCATGTTTGACTTTGATCTTTGTCTTTATTGAGATGGCAGCTGATGTGTGTGATGTGTGAGTTGTGATTTCCACTTGTCAGTGATTAGCTCAACTCTTTTTAATCTCAGTGAAAGCATGCAGTATGGGAAGAGTTGAGACTTCTTATTAGAGCCCGACCGATATATCGGTTGACCGATATTCTCGGCCAATATGAGCAGCTGGAGGCATATCGGCTATTGGCCCATATGCTTGCTGATAGGGGCCGATATTTCACGTGGGCATGTTATACCTCGTTATAAAGCTAAGACTCTCTACATTATGTTCATTTAATCCAATTTACAGACAGATAAATGTCCTAACATGTGGCTCCTCATCAGTATTTATCTGCGGAGTCATTTGTCTCTGTGTGTGTGTCCTGAACACACCACCAGAGTCACATGTGTTTGTTTACACCCGCAGACATAGATCCATGTGCGCAACCCTGAGATTCTATTCTTTTTTTGAGTCTGGAGTAAAAGGACATTTATTAGTGCAGACTTGTGATGTGAGGAGGAGCCTGTGTAAGCGGTGATTGTTGATAATATGTCGACTTTGAAGCTGGTTTTGGTTCGTTCTGATAGGTTAGCGATTAGCTGCTGTAGCTCTCACATATAAACAGGCTGTTTTCTATTGGTCTATTGTAAAGTGACTATATTGGCAGTTTATTTGTTACTGGACCAGCATTGATATGTAAATGAGCTGTGAATAGAAGTGTGAATGATCCACATTTATTCATATAATTAATTACCGCGGCGCGCACGTTTTTACGGCTAAAGGCTAATAGCAGTAGTTTATTTACTAGCTAGGAGTTATGGGTCGGTTGCGATCGAAGCGGCTCTTAGAGCCGGCTCTTTGAAGCGAACGACGGGATTATTGGGATTGGGAGCCGTGTTTTCTCTTTCTCTCACCCTCTCTCTTTCTCTCACTTTTTTCTCTTTACACCACATGCAGACTCGTGGTAGTTTGACAGTAGCAGCGGCTAAAAACGAAACTTTCAAAAATCTGCGTGTGCATAGGGTAAAAAAAAAAGTCCATATATATATTCAGCATAAAATAAATAAACCAAGACTAATCTTGGGCTCGAGTGAGGGAGAGAGAGAGAAACCGAGTCCGGACACTCCTGTCCTGGTTCAGTTCTGGTTTAGTCCTGTTTTACACATGGTTTAGATCTGTTTTAGTCCTGGTTTAGTCCTTTTTCAGTCCTGGTTCAGTTCTGGTTTAGTCCTGCTTTAGTCCTGCTTTAGACCTGCTTTAGACCTGCCTTAGACCTGTTTTAGTCCTATGACATATCATGTAAAGAGGCAGAATAACAATAAATGTTGCCTAAATAAACGCAGTTTAGAATCCACCAGAGCCAAACGTAAACTTAAGTTTTTTTTTTAATAATTCAAGACTTACAGTGAATTTTTACATCACTAAATATATCGACAATTATATCTGCTATCGGCAGCTCCAACTCCCATTATATCGGTTTCATATCGGCCACAACAAAATCCATATCGGTCGGGCTCTACTTCTTATCACTGTTGGTGGTTTTGATTTGCTGTGTTGGTGTTAAATTGGGACTGAACACTAAATCAACTTTATTTTGCTGCTAAACTCTATATAGTGTTTTAATAGCACTGTCAACTGTCCCTAGCCCTTTTTGGCCATTTTAGTGCGAACTAGGTACTTTTGCAGCGCTGTGGTCAGAAATTGTCAAAACCTGAGTGTGTGCTCCCTCCAGTTAGAGCCCTGCACTTCCGCGGGACCCGACGCAAAACAGTGCGGTGCGAGACACATTTTGAAGGCTCAAAATGGGCAAACTAAATATGAGTGTGATGTAAAATATACAAATGATTAAAGTATGCCTATCATACATAATTTGTGCTGGATATTTTTTTAACATTAATAAAAACATTTTAAGTAACCTAAACTTGCGGATGTGATCTAATCTGAGGTGGTGTTTGATGGTGGGAGCGGGGCAAAATGTTGTGGGCGGAAGTTAGAATGAAACTTACAATTCTTTGCGGGCGTAGGCAGGAGTGGGACTGAAAATTATGTCCCATGTAGACCTCTACCTCTAGTGGCCACTGCAGTTTCAAGTACTATGTGACATCACACAGAACTGCCCCGATTACAGCTAGGTGTTTCTGATACAAACACCTGATTAAGGAGGAGAGTTTGAAGCATGGATACCTGTTAGACCAATCACATGGTTCCTCATACATATGTCCAGACCCCGCCCTTCATTCCCTCACTGTCGTCTTTAGTCCTCCAAGTACTATCCAGTTTAGCAGTAAGGAAGGAAAATAGTAGTAAGAAGTAAGGAAAGCTAACTACAATTCACAAGTCAAATGTTTTCATGGTAAGAGCCCCTTTTAAAACGGTGCTTTTGTTTTGAGTGAAACTGTATGTGACAAACAGCTGAGTCCAGGTTGAATAATGTTTGAGTTCAGACCTCCGCTCTTCCTTCGCCCTGACCTTGTTTCATTGTCAGTGCCAGATACCAAATGCTACACATCACCTGGACAAGGTTGCCAGGTTTTCAGAGAACAACAAGCGACCAAGCCTTTGAAAAAAACTCAAACATATGACTTGAGCCCTACAAAAAGAAGCCGCAAATAGAAGCAACTAGTTAAATGTTTTGTTATGTGCGTACTTTTAAAGGTCCTAAATGGCATGTTGTGAGTTTTAAGCCATCTTTATAATGTTATTACCTCATCAAAAATGTGTTTATAGTTGTGTTTTGTTTCATTCTCATTCTCAAAACCCTTTATTATTTGTCTGTCTACACCTCCAAAACTCAAAATGCTCTGTTCCACCTTATGTTGTCAATAAATAAAATGTCATTTAATTAGATGAAGATGGTGTAGTTTGATATTTCAGCTTTAATATAAATAATGACTTTAAAGCATTAACGCTTGTTTTTCAGTCATTTTTATACTGTTTGGTCATTACTGAGTCTATTAGCATAAAACAGAACTGAAAAAAAACCCGATAAAAACTCACCTCTTTTATGACTTGAAAGTGCCACTCGGGAGCAAGCTAAAAAAAGATGCAACACGCGACTCTGAAAATTTGCCAGCAACTTTCAAAAAAATGAAGGCCGAAATCGTTATAAAGAAGCAGACTTAGGTTTGTCAAAAATATCTAATCAATACTGAAATTAGTATCAAAACTAGATACTCGTTTGGGCGTGGATCAATACTAACAAAGTCACCATCACGGGACAGGAAGGAGCCTTTCCTGAATAACTTTAGAATGATGTTGTGCTGTATCAGAACAAGTATAAGAGCACATAGACTAGTAGACGCCCAAGGATCACTATGGGACCTACCTGGACCACTGAGGGATTACACACATATGGGAATATAAAAGAAAGTACTATGATTGATGTTTATTTTTACTACTTTGTGGTATCAGAATCTGTATTGTATCAAGTTTGAAATGTTAGTATCGTGACAACACCACCTGGCATCTATCACCTGGCCCCCTGTTGCCTCCGTCCCCTCTCAAACCAGCCCCCCCCTCCACACGGGATCTGCACCTGACCTTGGAGTGAGTCCAAACTTTGGCTTCTATGACAGAGATGAATTGTCCCCTCTGTCCAGCGATAGACTTATATTTTACTTACACCTCTCCCTACCCTCTGGGACCTGAAACTTTTGGTTACACCTGCAGAGTCATAACTGGCCAAAAAAACTGACGCGATGAAAACTACAAGCTATTTTTAAAGGTGACCAAATTGTGTTAAAAAGTACCTTACGTGATGCAATTTTACGAAAGACTCTTAGGATCGATTGGACCAACAAGGTTTGAATTACAAGCATTGCTCACCTTTCATATAGATATTTTTAGAAACACATTTTCTGTCTGGACCTCACTGTGCGGTTCACAAAATGGCCAAAATGTGTCTCACTTAAATCAAACTTTGCCTCCGGAGGTTTTTTCATGGCTGGTAATTTTCAGTTTATGTAGTTTTTGAAGCTTTGGTATTTCTTTAAATGTTGTTGCACTATTGTATTTGCGACAGTAGCTCAGTTAATTGTTTGTTTGTCCACAGATACAAAGGATACGGGATGGGCATGATTAGTCGATTAATCGATAATTGATCATTAAGAATTTCAT